TATATATATATATAATACTACGGTATAATTAACGACATTCGGATGAATATGAATGGGAAATGGAAAAGAGAAAGACGACAAAAATTAGAAGAATTATGAGTGCTTGCGAAGCAAATAGATGACGTAACGATGTGAACACTAAAAAAGAACGAATAAAGCGATATCACAAATCAGAAGAAGCGATGAAAAACAGAAATCGGATAATTATTGTAGATGACATTTGCATTTTTTTCAGTTTCCTGAATCGATTAAAAACCCCACAATGCTCTCACTGTAATTGCACACTATACAAATAACTACGATTTTACGTGCTTCAAAAACCAACGCAGTACAGCTTTATTGTTTCTTATTTGCACAACTATGCCTGAAAGTGATTTTTTGCCGTTGATGAGACAGAGTTTACACTCGTGAACTGTCACTTCGTAACATCACTCCAAAAAGTTGTTCAAAACTTATCGTGCACATTTTCACTGTGTTACAGTGAGCGCTGAAGAAGATGGCTATTCGGTGCATGTAAAGTTTACGTCTTTTGCAGACAATCGACATCCGAATGAGTGAATTAGTGAATTGCGTGGAAATTGATGAATGATGTTGGAAAAATTCGAAAGTTTGTTATTACCGATTGTTCGATAGCATCAAATGCTGAATCGAGCGATACGGTCAGTTTTGTTCAAATGAATCGGTCGTAAACTCTCTCTAATGATCATGACGAAATGCAGAACGCCTCAAGCAATCGGTTAGTTTCAGACTGATCCTATAGCATGGTGGCAAGGTTGAATGGTGGTTAGCGGTATGTAATTCATATAAGAGAAGTTATATTACCGTTGTAAAGCGAAAGATTCTGTTCGACTTATTCTTATTCGACTTATTAATTGCGACGGTTTTGACTTATTCTCATCACTACCTGAACTCTGGACTCTGTTTCATAATCTCTATTTCATAATGACTCGGTACTCGAACCGTGTCCAGTTGTTGCGGTACTTCTTGGTGTGTGATTTTTTCAATGTCTGACTGGTTGAACAAGCAACACCAAAGCTTCATATCGTAACTTCAGTTGTTATCCTCATGTGATCTCAAGTTCATACACTTGAAACTTGGACGCCGTATTTGAAAACAAATGGATTTTTAAGTTGAGTGTTGTTGTCAGTGAAGTGAAGTATTAGAAAATGCAATAAAGAACTGTTTGCAAATAGGTTCTCAACATCTCAACCACACCGAATTTCGTG